GAGGCCACGGGGCCAGGCCGCCTCCATCTGGGGCCTTGGAAGCTGCCCAAACGGGAGCTGGGAGAGAAGCGGCTTTTCATCTGCTCCCAGATGCATCTGCTTTGCGTTCTCTGGCGGAGCCCGGAGCAAGGAGGTTCCTGCTTGGGGACCCTGGGGTGGGGCTGGGGCAGTCGCCCTGTGCGCCTCCTGCTAAGGACCCCCAAGGCTATTCCCACAATCTGCCAGTTATCGTAACCCAGAAGTTAATAATAATTTAAGCTCCTGTTTACTTAGGCGAACCGTCGAGTGGTTTGTGTCCTCACTCGCTCAGCCCTTAACGCGAACCTCTAGGATGGAGGCTGGTCTTGTTCCATTTCACAGCTCAGGCGAGTGACGTTCAGGGGTGACTCGGCCCCAGTGACACAGCCAGGAGGGCCCAGGACCACCCAGACGCTGTCCCCCACCAGGTGTGGCCCACGCGGTGGCCTCCTGTCCCTCACTCCCTGAGCCCAGGGGGACGCTGAGTGACACCTGCCACCCCGGGGCCGGCACAGGGGAACCGTGTCCCTGTGGTCCCGGCAGCCCTGGTTTTTCCCCCAAATGTCATTTCTTCACTCTCTGTTGCCCCGTTGCTCAGGCAACGCGCTGCCCCATGATAACCGTTAGAGCCACCCTGGGTGGGGCGGGAAAGCTTGGGGGAAGTCACAACAAAAGTCAAGTTCAAAACCCACAGCCTGGCAAAGTCCCTTCAAGCCACAACTGAAGCCCGGCCAGGTCTAGGGCAGCAAGAATGGGGGGTCTCTGGGGCTGTCCCTGCCACTGAGACACTGGGGTACAAATTGGGGGTGTCCCACAGTAAAGGGGTCCCAGCCACCAGCTCCCAGACACCCCCCTCCGTGATCTATATTAACAGCAGCTGCCTGTGGAGTCTCAACCTCACCTTTTTTCTTCTTTCCCTTCCCCCGTGCCTCAGTTTCCCCTCTTGGGGAGCAGCCTACAAACTGGCTGCAGAGTGGAGCATAAAGACCCCTCCGGGGAGGGGAGCAGGCTCTGAGAGCACCCTGGGGTTCCTTCCGGGGTGCATGGGTGCCCAGGCACTGCCCGCCCCTCTCTCCATGTGCCCACGGGTGCCCGCCTGACATGTGGCTTCTTCCGCCTGCCCCGGAGCCACCCGCGGCACCTCCCGTTTCTCAGCTGAGACCAAGAGGTGCTGCCGGGGCCCTCGCCCCTCCCGGCGGGACCCCAAAGTTCTTACCGAGAAAGACACCGCTGCCCCCGCCGCCTCCCATGGTTCCAGCTGCCGGCAGGAGCAAGGGAAGTCGGGGAGGGACAGGGCTGTCCCGTCTCCCCTGGCTGGGCAGCTGTGCGGCTGTCCCGAGGCCCGGCCTTTATGAAGGGGGGGCGGACAGCTGCCGGCCCAGGGCCCTCCCCGGAACTGGCGGGGCAACTGGAAGCCAACAGGAAAGTGCAGTAAAACCACAGACCCAGGGGCGCTGCGCACACACATGCACACGCACACACATGCACGCGCGCACACACACACACACACACACACACACACGCACGCGCACACACACACACGCACACACACGCTCAGGAGAACCGGCTCAGCGGGAATGAAGCACAACGTGCTTCCAAATCCTCTACCAGTTTTTCCATCGTTTGAAAGTCTGACAAACACTCGGCCCGTGTGTATACGGGCCAGCTGCATCGGACGGGAGGGTGGGGCCAGAGAGGCGGGGGAGTCTCACCCCGGGGCCTGCTTGGCTCTGCTCTGAGCACTGGCCGGGCGGGGGGTGGAGATGAGGTTGGACAGAGGCCATGTCAGAAATAGCCCCAGGCTGCCGGGTTCGCGCTCAACCTGTGCCCAAAGCTTTGGCACGCCTGCGTCTCCAATGCCAGCATCTCGGCGGACAGTACTTTCTTTCCCCTCCGGTTTCTTAGACCAGGAGGGAAACTGAAGCACAGAGACATCAGTGTCCAAACAGGGTTGGGGGGCTGGGAGTGGTGGCTCACACCTGTAATCCCACAATTTTGGGAGGCTGAGTCAGGAGTATTGCTTGAGCGCAGGAGTTTGAGACTGGCCTGAGCAACATAACAAGACCCCATCTCTAAATAAAATTTAAAAATAAGCTGG